GGCTCGCCGTGACCGAGAAAAATCGGTTCACCCTCCCATAAAAAGTTATCACTTCAAAAAAAGTCTTTATATCTTTTTTAAATCACAATTTTGTCCGTTTTTTTTATCTTATTTATATCTACTACATTTTTGAGGGTTGCAAGCGTTTTATTTGTTCGTTAGTAGCACTGTGAAATTCTGCAAACGGATTTTACTTGATCTTATCCAATATTCTGTAGAAAAATCGATTTTCGAATAAAACTAGAGAAATGGGTTTAAAGAACACCCTATAAAACTTACGTCACTGCCTGGAGTTGTACATCCTTAATAGTTCATTTCAAAACAGCAAACTGGACAAAAACACAGTAGACAACATTATTGCAAAAAATCATAAGAAAAAACTTAGTAAAGCTAAAAACCTGAGCCTTGGCTCATTTAATACACAACCATCTATATATATTGACTCAAAAATTGAGAAAATTTGATTTTGGAAGACTCGGTAGAAAAGCAATTATTCTTGATTGTTCATGAATCAAAAGCGAGGTAGCAAATCCAGAACAACACGGGCATTTTACTGAAAAAAAAAAATAATATGGGCAGAAAACATTGTGGCAAATCAGAGAGAAATTGATAGCGGAGTCAAGCAAGGTTATTTTTTCTCCTTATTTTCCATAATGCGTACTCACAGCAGATATTTGAAGAGGAAGTATGGGAAAGACCGAATGGTGGGAATAACGAAAGAACCGTCTGTCATTAATAAGATTAGACGGTACTTGCAGTAATCATGGGATAAAAAAAACTCAAAAAATTTTCCAGAAGGTATCGACAAAAATAAATTAATTTAAAATAAAACTTACACTAGAAAACAATTGGAGTTTGTTCATGACCTTTAATTCTTGGCGATCGATACTTAAGAATGTATGATATTTGGTCTGCTGGAAACACGGACGAAGAAGTATTAAGAACCACTGGACACAGTAGAAAACTGATGGCGTTAACGTAAGAAAAATAGCAAATCTGGACCACGTACTTCTTAATGACAATTTTTCCTCATGCCCCATGAGGAGAAAATAGAACGGAAGGGGCTAAGGACAAAAAGAAAATATTGGTGGAAGACTGGTTTAACTACTATCATTTTGGAACAAAGATTTCACGTAGCAAAAGATACAGAAGCGCTCAAAGAAGGTTGAACACGACCTGACAAAAATAAGAATAAAAAAACGCTATAACACAGTTTTAGCCAATAGGAAATTGAGCGTTAGTCTCAACGACCTTCCACATGTAAACGATGACTTTCAGTAGTCCCCAAAGTGTAAAGAATCAATTTATCTGTCCGAAATTTAATTTCCCGTCTCGAAATAGAATCTGCCATCAATCACGTTCATTGTAGACACCGGAGTAAATCAAATTTCAATGAGGTCACATTACCAATTAATCAACTATTAAGATTTACGTTATTCAGTTATCCCGAAGGAAGCGGCGTCGTCAGCGAGTGAATTCGGGGGCTCCGCTGGCGTCGCGACGCAGTTTCACTCGGACCAGAATCGAGAAAGCAGCGTCGCGTTCATCCCGACGCAACAAGTTTCCCGAAAAATGCGAATATCCGTAGTGTAATTTGCCGTGTTTAATCCAGAATATTTATTATTTATGGACGGATTGCTTCAATTGTCAGGTGGGATTTTTTATATGTTTTTCGGGTGGATGTTGGACGTTGTTTATATATTTTGTTTCTTTGATGTGAGATATGCGATTTGGAACAGTTTTCACTTTCGGTTTTACATGTTTACTGGCCAGTTTTTTAAAACTCTATCAGGATTTATTGCATTTAATGAGAGAAGCGTCAATAATTTAAGGCCTAACTAATCTCGGAATTTTGGAAAATTGTGCCAATTTCACTAGTTAAGTTTTAAAAGTCAGTATTTAAAAATAGGTTCTTGAACTTAACTGCGCGCAATGAAACTCCAAAAATAGCCGAAATAAATTATGTTTTGTTTGAAATATAAAAGTTTACCGATTTGCCATCAAAGCAAACAAGATGGAACTATGTTTTGCTGCTGTAAATTGCTAGTGAACGTACCAAGTTTCCATAATTCCTGCTTTTATCAGCAAAGCTGAAAAAAATGCGCAATTTAAATAAAGTGTTTTGTTCAATTTATGAAATGTTTGTTTGTTAACATGCCTGAAAGCTTGTTATCGGTTTCCTGAGTTGTTCATTTTTGTTATTTTCCACGTAAGCAAGCATTTGGACATTCAAACAATGCTTTTGTGGTATAAAATGTGTTTTATAAATTATTTATAATTTTGTTCTTGACAATATATAAAAAAATAATATACATAAATTATCTTAAATGTTGAGTGTTTCAAATTTGAAGTTTTTTGTAAACTATAAGGTATACAACGACGGATAAATTAGAGCAAAGTTGCCCATTTTTATGCTTAAGAAAATGGTGTTTGAAAAGGACTAATTTGTTCCAAGAAAACCGAATTTTTTTCATACTATTTTCATTTTTTACTGCACTTATATCAAAAACTATTTCTAGGTAATTTCCACGTTATTATAACACTTTTATACTCTCTACTAAAAAAACAAGAATCCGGAATTCAATTTCTTATTTTGGCACCTGCATCATCATCTTTTTACCAGTTTTGTTCATTAATTCTGATTCTGATTGACTTGAACTTATATCGCCTCACTATTCTTCACATTTTGCAGTTTAGATCGTTATCATTCAGGTTCAACCCACGCACTTTCTGTGTCTTAAATGGTTTCGTTTTCTTCATTAATACTGCTGTACTTATTTTCTCCGTCATTTCTTTTGTTAATTTTTTTCGTCTTCAGGATTATTTCATGGACTGGCTGATCTTTTCTTTCATCGGTCTCAAATTATTTTTCCTCCAGTTGTTCCCTATAGCTTTCTTTAGCTTCATCAAGCTGCAGTCGAAGCTATTCAGTTGATTGGTTTTTTTGCTAAATTTTGTTGGCGATTGCAGTTTTGTTTTTGTTGTTTAGTGGCTGGACTAATGGCTGCATTTTGAACGTATTTAACATCTTCTCCTCTCCATTCCGTATTCTCACATAAAAAATTACCCTAAGAAAACGTCTTTCTATCTTTTGTAAATCACAATTTTGTCCGGTTCTTTTATCTTATTTATCTACTACATTTTTGAGGGTTGCAAGCGTTTTATTTGATCTTTAGTCGCTCTGTGAAATTCTGCAAATGGATTTTACTTGATCTTATCCAATATTCTGTAGAAAAAAGTATTTTTGATTGAAGATAAAATTTGAGAAATGGGTTTAAAGAATACCCAATAAAACTTATGTCACTGCCTGGAGTTGTACATCCTTAAAAGTTCAGTTCACCGTGTTCTTTGAGCTCATTTTGATAACATTCACATTTTCATAGTTTGGATATATTTTCGTGCAAGTAAATGATCAAATTGATTGCAGGAAAACCATTTGATTAATTTCTCTTTGTGAGAAAAAAATACGTTGTTGCATTGGAAATGCGATTTCAATATCATGTAAACAAATGCTTCTCACGACACAAAAAAATGACCTGAAAATTCAATTTGGATACAAAAGTCTTTTGAAACCTTTTAAGGTAGCAGCGAAGCTTTGAATGCAAATAAGGGCCTTTCACAGAATGCGAGAATTTCAGCAAAATGTATGTGTTCTAATTAACGCTCTTTGCCAATTTGGAAGGTTGCTAAAATTCGCATGCTAATTGCCAATTTACTTAGCCTGTATAACGAAATAACAGACGAATATATGCGTAGATTGAAAGGTTCACTTTTAAATTAAATTAAGTCAGAAATTGTAATTTTGTATTAGAGCGCATCGACTGAGAATAAATCAGAAAAATGCTTTCAGCTCGTGGAACTATAAATACTTTTTCCATTGTATTCAACTGAAACTCCATTAATGCAAGTGTTGTAGGTTTCTACTTTGTAATAGTCAACATAAACAATGTTCGTGGGTTTCAGTCATTTATTAGGAATATCACAATTTAGTCATTAAAAAACGTTTCAGTATTTTTCCACCATCATCAGTTTGTTCGTGTAGACAGTATCGTTATAGTTTAGATATTCTAAAAAAATTACTGAAACCCAGGACCATTGTTTATGTTGAATTTAGAAATACAGCCATGAAAACTTACATGATTTGTAAATAGTGCAGGATTTCACCTTTTAATTGGTCCTTCGGGCCGGATAATTTTTTTGAGTCAAACAATCCACACAAAGGCAAAAATCAATTAGTCAGAACAGCGCAAAAAATCAAATTTGAAAAAACGGCTTAAAAATCTCAAAAAAATTTAGGATCAAAGTTAGTGAAAGGCAGAAGTGAAATAAGGTGGCCCTTTATAAACTGTGTATTAAAAAAGAGAAAGCACTGGGGATCTTGGGCTTAAGTCGGTGTTTTCTTTTCAACGTTTATTTATTTTCAATTTCCGTCTCCTAAGACTCGGCTTTATGTGCACCTCCCTCGGTGTCTCATAGATTCAATTCGAAAAGGGCATTATGATTAAATTTCTTGTTCAATCACACGCTTTTAAGCCCGCAAACTGAATGAGAAATTCACATAATCGGTTCCTGGAATTACGTTTCAGCGCTAGAGTGGCAATTAAGTGAACAGATTACCGATGAGTGGCAATTTAAAACTCGTCTACGGCGCACTTTTAAACCTGGAGATGTTTCAAATCTTTTATATGTTCAGGATTGAGTTTCATTAGCTGGAAAATCGGCTACAAACGAAACAGGCGATGGATCAAAGAGTCGCCGTCGATTTCATTTACCTTTCGCTTTAACCTGTATAGGTTTAAAATACGGACGGATTTACGAGGTTTCACTTTATCTGCCTGAGCAATAAGCCGATCTTTGAGACAAATAGGAAATGAAATGGTTTTCAATGATCTTTTATTTCAAAAAACGCCGGTCTGCATAGTCAATAACTCAAATTCCCTCTTCAATTTTTGGATATATGTATTTCATATAAATGTGCCTTGAAATTCGCCAGCAAGAACATGTGTCGAACTATTTTATGTGTCAGTTTTGATTTTCTTCTATTTCGTTTTATTTCATTCACTATTATTCACAGTTCCATAAAAAAATTTCCCGAAAATTATTGGCATCTTGGTGTTAATTGCTGTTTGCCTTACTGTTGGTCCTTCGAGCCGGATATAGTTTATTTAATTTATATTCTTCTTTGGATTATTACAAAATTAGTTTATTTATCTGTCTTAATACCGAACCGAACACATTATTAAATTGCCAAACTTGAGGAATTCTTAAATTGATTGCACGATGAAAATCATCAATTATACACATTGAAAACTGAATTATTCTAGTCTCATATTGACTGAATAATGCACGGTTTCATTGGATTCGTTGCTATCCAGACAATCCTCCATCAATTCTCTCATGGCTCAGCTTCAATATCGGGCGGAACAAAGGAACTTATTAAATACATTTTCCCCTCCTGGCCGATAGCTCACATTAGAAGAGTCAGCTGAAAATCTGCTGGTCCACATTTTATCGATTGCTCCCTATAAAAACCTCAAGATCGGATTTCTATAGGCAGCAAATTGCGATCGCGATCTGCCTTTCCATTCGCATCTCGCAAATTCGATTATGTCCGTTATTTCGCCTTCCTTCCAGTGACTTGAAAATCCGGAATGGAGCTCATTAGTTTGATCGGAAAATATTCAGTTTTTAGACCTGTTTGTCCGATAGGTTTGGAGTCAGTTTGGATAGTGATGAAGTCGAGGCAATGTATGTTAAACCGGCAATGAAGCTTTAGTGAATTTGTTTATGAAAATCGCATGCAATTTTGCTAATTTTCAGCTTTCTCAAGTCATTTCCATGCAGTATCCAACAAGGTTTTAGATGTGTTGTCAGATCACCGGTCTTTGATACGAAACCTTACTAAACTTCAAACAGAAGTCGCGGGCGAATATCAAAAACTAATGGACAAATGGGGAGAGCATGAATAGGTTTTCAAGTCCCCAAATGTGAAATACAAAACGAGTTACCTAGAAGGTCCACTAGTACGAAATCCTTGCCAATTATGCAAAAAATACAAACACAAACCAGATATGGAAGAAACTCGCTCAACTTCAAATAAAACAACAAATTAAAGTAATGGAAAACTAAATTAAATAAATTGCCAGGAGACACGTGGAGAAACTCCCCAAAGTTAACCTCCGCCTGGAGAGGTTTTTGCGCTGTGGTCATTTCCATCCCATTGTGTCTGTACCTACAGTCAAAAGCTGGGGTAAACCGTTGAGAATACAGATAATTAAAATCGTCCGGAAAGTGAATTAATTTGCAATCGAAAAAGGCGATTTTTTAAAACGTGTTCCAGGAACGACACAAACGAATTTTATGCATATAAACAGAATGGTATTTTTCCTATCATGTTCCAAAAACTCAATTCTTTAGCTCTTGCGCGTAAAGAGCAGGGAATTTTTTAAGCAGAGCTATTCGAATATGAAGAGAATCAAATTTTCCTGGTCGCGCTCTAAAAATTAAACTATCTAGCTCCTTTGAATTAAGAGCACAGCTTTTAAACCGATATTACTGAGACGCCTAAACTTGGTCCAGATTTGAGAGTTTTTTGAAATTTTCCAGGCACGATGATAACGCGGTTTTTTCTGATGTAAACAGAATGGGATT